GTTCTGATCATTTTTCCCTGCACTCACCTCCCTGCTCCCCCACCCACTCCTCTTCCAGATGTAGCCCCAAGCCCAGGGAAGGGCTGAGCTGGGCTGCTGTGGGCGTGGGCGGGCGGTGGGGGGACAGCCAGGCTCCAGTCACTTGGCAGCTACCTCCGGGTCAGAAGTCAGGCCCCCCTCCCCTGACCCAGCTCTGTGGGGCTGGGCCCTGGTCCACCTGCCCACCTGCTCCTTGGAGCTCCCTCCTACCAGGCCCAGAGCCCAGGCAGCCTATCCTCAGCCTTGGAAGGAAGGGTTCAGCCTTGAGGCCATCCTCCAGATGAGAAAAGGCAGCCTGGGAGGTGGGTGGGGACAGGCCCAATGGTCCCTCGGAGACTGGGGGCGGGGTGCAGCTTTGTTTATACACTGTTCCTGTGCAGGGGTGGCCCTTCCCCCATCTTGGAGCGGCCCAGATCCAATCTCAAGATCGTCCCAAATGCCACTTCCTGAGAAAGGGCCTCTTACCTGCCCCTCTGGTTAGCTGATGGCCTGCCTCAGAATCCCGTGCTGCTACACAGAGCTATTGATGGTGGACCCTGAAGGATGTGTAGGAGTCGCCCAGGGGCTTAGGACTGAGGAGGGCATTCCTGACTGACCACCCAGCCAGGGCGAAACATGGCGGTGGGAGGTGTTCTGGCACACAGGGGAACAAACTGGTGTCCCGTGAAACTATAAATATAACTCGGCAATCACTGAACCGTGTCGTAGATGGGGAAACTGAGGCTGAGAAGTCTGGGAGTTGGACCAGTCGGAACTCTCCTGGCTTTCGGGACAGGTCTGCCTCAATACCTGAATAAGCACGCTGCTCCTCGTTGGAGTACGGAAAAGTCCTCCTCCAACTTCGGAAACACCCGCCGGCCCCCTCCAAAGCTCGTCCCCAGCCGCCCACGGAGGAGGCCTGGCTCATGGACTACAAGTCCCGGCAGGCCCCGCGCCGCGGCGCATGCTCGGCGGGAGTACTTTCGCGAGCCCGGCCGAGCCCGGGGGCCCAGTCTTCCCCCATTGTCTGGCCGGTAGGGGCGGGCGGACAGCGCACGGGCACATCCATTGGTCGGCCTGCACGTCAGTCGCTGTCTGTGTCCGCCCCCGTGCAGGCCCCGCCTCGCGCGCCCGCGCCCGGGCCGCCTGGCGCCCCGCCCGCGCCTCAGGACCGGCGGGGCCGCGCGGCGCA